TTTAGATATTTATTAAAAAAAAAAAATTTAGATGGAGAGAGAGAGTTATTTGAAAATGTTTTTGAAGAAATTGTAGATTTGGAAGATGTTTTGGTAAAATAGTATTTTAACAATTTTTCTCTTTTTAAAAAGTTAAAAAAAAAATTAAAATAAAAAAATCAAAAGAGAATAAAATAACTTTGTAATATAAATCATCAAATCAATTAAAAAAATATAAAACACATAAACAAAGTAATAAGTTTTAATAATTTTTGATTAGTAGAGTTGGTTTGGTCCAGTTTTGTATAATTCGAGTTTGGTTTTGAACTTTTGATAATTTTTTATAGAAATTTCTATATCCATTTAACTATTATATAATTTGTTCCAATTTTGATTTGTGAAGTTTTGTTCAATTATTTGAATTTCGTATAATAATTTCAGAAGTAATTATAATTACATTTTTAAACTAAAATATATCAATTTTACACCATAAATATTTCGTACTATTCTAGTTTAATAATAAGTTACTTTCTGCTGGAGTTAAATAATGGGTAAATCATTTCATTTCTTTCCAGAGCACAACCCAGAAAACTAAACATTTTATCTGTTCTTCAGGTTTAAGGGGTTTGGAAAAATAATTAAAATTCCAAAACAGAATTTGGTTGGTTAGCTGGTCCCGCGGTTTCTTTTATCTTGGAGTTCACTTAAATCCTACGATCCATCTGCAAGATCTACCAAGAATCCCACACTAATTTGATCTGTGTGTCTATAAAATGAAGAGATTCACGGTTTGCTGCTTTTCAAGCCGAATCCACGAGAGCAGAAATCGAAATCTAGACAAGGTTTGTCTTCTCCTTTACACAAAAATATGTTGAGTTTTTTTTTCAGATTTTTCTGTGACCCATTTGCTAATTGTCTTGATTTGATCTGGGTCTTGATTCTGTTCTGTAAGAAACTAAGAGAAAGCATGGAGATTTCAAGAACCGACAATGCAGAGGTTAGGGCTTCGATGGTTTGATTTTTTATTTTTGGTTATGTTCCTTTCTTTGTAACCAAGTCTTGTTCATCTTTTCACACACTTTCTTCATTTTTAAGCTAAACTTTTGAATCCTTAATCTGATCTTGTTCCGTTTAATGATTTCTCTACCAGCCTGACAAACAGAACGACGACAATGTGGCATCAATTATCGGTTCTGTTCACACCAATATAATTGTGAATCATGATTTCTCTTCGGGGATGCATTCCTGGCATCCGAATTGCTGCGAGGCTTTTGTTGTCACCGCAGAGTCCGGTGTCTCTCACGGTGTTTTAGACCCTTCAAAGTGCGGTAGCTACGTAGTTGTCTCAAACCGGAAAGAAACTTGGCAAGGCTTGGAGCAAGACATTACAAGCAGAGTGAAACCTTGTTGTCTTTATAAAGTTTCTGCAACTGCTGCTGTTTCTGGGCCTGTTCAAGGATTGGTAGAGATTATGGCCACCTTGAAGCTCGAAAATGGACAATCGCCAACAAACTATCAGTTCATTGCAAAGTAAGGCATTGTTTAGATATATACATTTGTGTAATGTTGACAAAGAAAAAGAAACTGATTTTGGATTTGCAGAACTTGTGTATTCAAGGAGAAGTGGGTGAGACTAGAAGGCATGTTTTCGCTACCGAGTTTACCAGAACGAGTCATTTTCTATTTGGAAGGTCCGTCACTGGGGATCGATCTTCTCATACAGTCTGCTACCATTCGTTGTGAAAGCGAAACAGAGGTATGTAATTAATCACATGACCACTGATTGTTTGTTTGCGTTTGCAATTACATATATGCTTCAGTTTACACGTTACAGTCGGATGATTATTCCAAATCAATTACGTTTAGTAATGTAAACAAAACTCTATGGTTTTCCTTTTTGTGTTGCGTTTACGCTTTGCAAAATCACTTTATCAAAAATGTAGATGCAAACACAATTTTGGTGTTTAAAGAAAGTGTATAAGTGTATCAGTGGAAGACATATTTCAATTTGTTTATAGATGGAACGAGAAGAGCGTGTTACCACGGAAGAAGAGAACATCGTAGTGAACCCGAACTTTGAGGATGGACTAAATAACTGGACTGGAAGAGGCTGCAAGGTTGTGTTGCATGACTCCATGGCTGATGGAAAGATAGTACCAGAATCCGGGAAAGGTTTCGCTTCAGCGACAGAACGCACGCAGTACTGGCACGGTATTCAGCAAGAGATCACTGGGAAAATTCAGAGAAAACGCGTCTATGAGGCAACTGCAGTTGTTCGTATATACGGAAACAATGTGACAAGTGCTACTGTACAAGCTACTCTATGGGTCCAGAATCCAAATCAACGGGATCAGTACATTGGCATTGCCAAGTTAGTTTTTTAATTATCTCATTCTATATCAAGAATCATTGTATAGTACTATATAGATCTTTTTTTCTTGTCCTTTAAAAGTGTGCAGGCAACAGACAAGGAGTGGATACATATTAAAGGGAAGTTCCTCCTCAATGGTTCTGCATCACGGGTAGTCATTTACATCGAAGGTCCCCCTCCAGGAACCGATATTCTCCTCAACAGCTTAATTGTAAAACACGCCGAGAAAATTCCTCCTTCGCCCGTCCCGCCTATTGAGGTTAGTCTAAAGATCCAGTTCACACTTTCACTGCGGTAAAATCCACTTAACATGTGATTGTTTCAAATGTCAATTTTTGCGTTTGCGTTTGCGTTTATCCGTGAACAAAATTTTCAAACAAATTTTAACATTTCTAAAGAATACAACATTTTTCACCTCCATAAAATCTTTCTAATCAAATGGAAAGAAACCTCATTCCCTTTGATTTTTGTGTTTGCATTTACAATTACCAAAATAATTTTGTAGTTTGATTTGGGAAAAAAACCACATTCGATTACGTAAACGCAAACAAAAAATTGAAATCTTAAACGGCTTTGTTGTTTTCTTGTAGAATCCTGCATTTGGGGTAAACATACTCACAAATAGCCACTTAAGTGATGAAACGACCAATGGCTGGTTTTCATTAGGCAATTGCACGCTAAGCGTTGCAAATGGCTCACCACGAATCCTCCCACCGATGGGAAGGGAATCGCTTGGACCACACGAGCCTCTAAGTGGACGCTATATACTTGTGACTAACCGAACACAAACATGGATGGGCCCAGCTCAATTGATCACAGATAAACTTAAGCTGTTCTTGACATACCAAATATCAGTTTGGGTCAAAGTCGGTTCCGGCTTTAATAGTCCTCAAAATGTTAATGTGGCACTTGGTATCGATAGCCAATGGGTAAACGGAGGACAAGTAGAGGTCAACGATAATAAATGGCATGAAATTGGCGGTTCGTTTCGAATAGAGAAGCAGCCATCTAAGGCTTTGGTTTATGTTCAGGGCCCTTCTTCTGGCATTGATCTCATGGTAGCTGGCTTGCAGATTTTCCCAGTCGATCGACTCGCAAGGATCAAACATCTGAGAAGACAATGTGACAAGGTACATACACAAAAGACTCTGCTTACAATCTCTTATGTCAAAAATGTTCAGAGCAATGAGAGTTAAAGTAATTTTCTCTAGTGCAGATCCGCAAGCGCGATGTTATCCTCAAATTCTCCGGTGTTGATTCTACCAAATTGTCTGGAGCTGCAGTTAGAGTGAGACAGATAAGGAACAGCTTCCCGGTGGGAACTTGCATCAGCAGATCAAATATAGATAACGAAGATTTCGTCGATTTCTTCTTGAAAAACTTCAATTGGGCAGTTTTCGCTAATGAACTGAAATGGTACTGGACAGAACCCGAAAAAGGGAAGCTTAATTACCAAGATGCGGACGATATGCTCAATTTGTGCAGTAGCAACAACATAGAAACCAGAGGACATTGTATCTTCTGGGAAGTCCAAGCAACTGTTCAACAATGGCTCCAAAACATGAACCAAACGGACTTAAACACTGCGGTCCAAAACCGCCTAACCGATCTTCTGAACCGGTACAAAGGGAAATTCAAACATTATGACGTGAACAACGAGATGTTACACGGATCATTCTACCAAGACAAGCTAGGGAAAGACATAAGAGTCAACATGTTCAAGACCGCGCACCAACTAGACCCATCCGCGACATTGTTCGTGAACGATTACCACATAGAAGACGGGTGTGACCCGAGATCCTGCCCCGACAAGTACATCGAACAAATTCTTGACTTACAAGAAAAGGGTGCACCAGTTGGAGGAATTGGGATTCAGGGCCATATCGATAGTCCGGTAGGTCCAATTGTATGTTCAGCTCTAGACAGACTAGGGATTCTCGGTTTACCAATATGGTTCACGGAATTAGATGTCTCGTCGATAAATGAGCACATAAGAGGAGATGATTTAGAAGTAATGATGTGGGAAGCTTTCGGACATCCCGCGGTTGAAGGTATAATGCTATGGGGATTTTGGGAGTTATTCATGAGCAGAGACAACTCTCATTTGGTGAATGCAGAAGGAGATATTAATGAAGCTGGTAAAAGGCTTTTGGCTGTGAAAAAGGATTGGCTCTCTCATGCTAATGGACATATTGATCAAAACGGTGCGTTTCCGTTTAGAGGGTACCATGGAAATTATGCTGTTGAAGTGATAACTAGTTCGTCTCAGAAGGTTCTTAAAACGTTTGTTGTTGAAAAGGGAGACTCGTGTCAAGCTATTACTGTGGATCTTCAAGGTTTGTAATGCTTTTGTGTTAATGTGTGTGTATATGTACATTATATCCAGATTTCGAATATGCTGAACCTTTGGGGTTAGTTTATTGTGAATAAAACGTTACCGTAATAAGAAATGT